TTTTTTTCACTTCTAGTTTTGGCGCGCTTTGGTTAATACGATGGCCACTTGAATGTAAACAAACAACTGATATGTGTATAAGTTATATATGTATAAGTTCTGTATAAATTGAACTGGTTGGGATTTTCATAAATGTAAGTAAAGAAATAATAATTATTTTATGATGCTGAATGTGATGCATGACTATTTCACGAAAATGAAACTCGGTAAACTTATACTCCCTCCTATCTTTAATGAAAACTGCTACTCCATTAAAAAACACAATTAATGATGATTAGTGTAAAAAGTAAATGAAGATTTGTGAAAAATCAAGAGAGAGATAAAATATGAAGAGACATTGGAAATTAGGTGGAGGGGTTAAAATTGGAAAAAATATGAACAAAATAGCCAAAATGACATTTATTTATCCAATAATCAATTAAGCTAGAATGACAAATAAAAAAGATAGGAGGGAGTATTAATATATGAATTTTTCAATATTAGAATTATGAATTAGCTGAATACATCTTAGAATAGAAAAATCAGTTATCACAATATTGTATTTAAATTAAATATATTCCAAAAAGAAATAAATACTCCTTCCTATTTTTTTTTAAAGGCAAAAACTCATTTTTGGTCCGTTAACTTGTCCACTGTCCAGTTTTCGTCCGCTAATTTGTCCCTCATCAAAATTGGTCCATTATGTTGCACTTTTCATCACTTTTGGTACATTAATCCCGTGGGCCGGGATTAGGAGATGACGTGGACAGAGATTCGTACTACGTGGAGGGATTGAATTTTGAAGTGGAAGGATAACAACCTGATCTTTGTTACGTGGCATTTTAACATGGCAACCTCATATTCTTTTATATATATTTTTTAATTTTTCAGAAATCGTATTTTAGAAACCGTAAAACACTACTGAAATCGTGTAACTTTTATATACAAAACCGAAACCCTCATTTAAGAATCCCTAAATTCAAAATCGAAAATCCCTAAATTGAGAATCAAAAATCCCTCAATTTTTTCCCAAAATCCCCGATTACTAAATGAAGCGAGGACGCCCGAAATCCAAACCTGCGACTAAAATGCCACCAGGAGATGAAGATTTGGGAGTGTTTCAGAAGGTTGTTCTTGGGATCGATGTTCCTACCTGCAAGATGAAGTTGCGAGCAAAAGAAACTGAACATATACCCCCTCATATATACGGTAATTTTTATTAGTTTTTTCAGAATTAAAGTTAAAGTTTTTTAAAATTAGGGTTTAGTTGAAGTGAAATTCCCAAATTAGGATTTAATTTGTGAAATTAGGGTTTACATTTGGTACAATTTAGGGTTTTCATGTGGTCCCTGTTTTTGAGAATGTTGCACTCATTTTTACATTGTTTTTTGGTTGTCCCTCTGCTGAAAAATATTTATTTCTGTATTTGGAGCCGTGAAGAGTACTTTTCTTACTCTTTGTCTTCATTATGGGGGCATTTTCAACATTCAGCCAAATTTCTCAGCATACATTGGAGGTGAGAGTGTTGTTCTAGATTATGTTGACTTTGGGCAAGTTGGCCTTGATGATTTTCTTAGTGTTGCAGAGAGGGGAGGGGTTAAAAAGCCCATGAGGTTTTATGTCAGAACAGGTGGTTGCTTTGTTTTATTAAATGATGACATGGATTTGTACAGGATTTGGGATGAGAGAGTAGGTCTTTTTAGAGAGATTCATATTTATGTGGATGAGATGAAAGATCAATGTGGAGGTTCAGTAGTCAATGATAAAGATAGAGATGGAGTAGGAGATGGTGTGGTTGGTGGAAATTATTGTGGAGTAGGAGATGGAATGGTTGGTGAAAATGATGGTGGGGTTCTTCATGGTGAAGAAGAGAATGGTGAAAATGAGGATGATGTGGATGGTGAGGAAGATGATGATGATGACAGTGATGAGTTGTATGATTCAGAGTATGACATGAAAGAAGATAGAATAGATGATAGGTTATTTTCTGAAAATGTCGATACTGAAGCTGAGTGGGGAGGGAGTGATTCTGTGTTTGAAGCTGTGGACAATTATGTTGCTGATGATAGTGATGTTGAAGCAGATGTGGTTAACAGGGAAAATTTAGATGGTATGAACATCTCTGATGAGGAAGGTAGTTGATATAGGATATTATACCCACAAGGCTAAACCGGTCTATTGACCTGTCAAGGAGGTCGTATTATGAAGAAATTAAAGAAATCAAGCAGTTAACCAGTCGACCAACAAGGTTGTCGACCAACCGATCCTTCGACCAGGTGAACGATCGAGCAGTTCAATCGGCCTCGACAGGTCGACCACTTCGAGGACTTAACACCACGCTGATCGGCCTAGGCACAGGCGCGTGAAAGAGCCTCTAACTGAATTCCAGGAGAATATTTACCCCATGTGCAGGGGGACACATGTCGAGAAGGCATTGGTTGATAGCGATAACCACCTCTGACAGCCTACCCCATGTGCAGGAGGACACGCGTCCAAAGGGGATTGGTGCAGGCGATAGTGGCGACGGCTACCTCTGACACACGGGTATGGTGTGTACGGACGGGAAATTAGGGCAGACAGCTCATCAAATCCGGGCAGCCCTAAGTCAGGTATCTCACCCCTATATAAAGGGGGTAAGCCTTTCTTCTTCAACACGATCATTCTATTGCTTACTCTTGAGAATTGATTGAACATACACTGACTTAAGCTTCGGAGGCTCTTCACCGGAAAACCCCCCGGTGTGAGAGTTCTTTGTAGGTGCACGACGTTCAACCAGCAAGAAGGAAGGCGATTATTTAAGTTCCAGCTGGTCGGGACGTTTTGTGTTACCATTTGGCGCCGTCTGTGGGACTTTCGTTGAGAAGCTGTGTTTGAAGCTCAGCTATGGCGGACGGAATCCCCAAAAACTTGCAGTCGACGTTCGACGACGCTTGGACGACGATCAGGACGTTTGGACAGGGTTCTCCTCCGGGTTTTTCTGGCCCATCGCAGACGTCGATCACTCCTACACCTGTTCTTCAAGGTGTGGGAGCAACGACAGCGATTCCCGGAGAAGATGCCGGCTCCAATCGCGCCCAAGAGATGCGTGCAGCGGCGATGCCACCACCGCCGCCCCAAAACTCAGCGGTGGCGCAACCAGGAGGAACGATAGCGCAACCAGGAGGAACGATGGAGCAGGGAGGAGCACCACCGCAGGCAGCGTTGCAAGTCCCCGGCCAGCAGGTGGTGATGACCAGACAGAAGATGCAACAAATGGTGGCGGAGGCGGCTGCGTAGGCGGTGCAGCAAGTCACAAATAGTCTCTCTCGGGCAACCGCGATGCCGAACACTGTTGCGGGGTCACACCAAAATGCAGAGGAGGATGAATCTAGCTATGGTGGAGGCAGGCCCCCACATGATCGAGAAATAGAGAGAATGGCGGAACAGCTGCGTCAATTGCAGGCTAAGGTGGATGGTCGAACGGAGAGACGCGCTCGAGGACACCCATTCTCGGCGGACATACTAGCAGCACCCTTGTCAATTAATTACAAGGATACCAACTTGGTGTTCGATGGGACTTCTGACCCGTCGAGGCACATGAGGACATTCGAAAATATGGCTGGGTTACATGGATATACTGACCCCGTTAGTTGCAGGGCATTTATGTCGACCCTCAGGGGAGGCGCCCTCGATTGGTTCCAGCAACTCCCTCCAGGCTCGATTACAGACTTTGAGGATTTTGCGGAGAAGTTGACGAA